TTTTTTTTTTTAAACCACTAGTACCTCCCCCAGTGTTGGGAAATTAGGGAAAAGTGGACGTTTTGCCATTTTCCCCGAAGAGTTCGGAGGTACCACAGGCTCGGCATCAGTTGTATTTCCCATTACCAAAAAAAAGAAAAAAGAGAAAAAAAGAAAGAAAGGAAGGACGTCGGGGAAGGCCGTGAAGGAGATGTGCTCACATCAGAACTCAAAGCAACGCATCTACCCAGAAACATAGCCAGTTTCGTTTTTTGTATGTGTTTTGCTTTCTTTTTTTGGTGATCCGCGTTTAGTGCCCTGCCAACGAGAGGCAAGCGCATTCCACGGGTAGCTGACACTTTGCAACGGGGGGCGCATTCTCACTCATACTCCAGATTCTGTATCCAGCTGCTTTGACGTCCGAAGTGTTGTTGCTTTTTTGTTTTCTTTTTCTTTCTTTTTTTTCTGCTATCGTGATTAGAGCAGGGCTGCAATGGCCGTTGGGAGGGCATACTCTCACAGGTACTCCAGATTCTGTATCTAGCTGCTTTCACGTCCAAATGTTGTTGCTGAATTTTTGATTTTTTTCTTTTGTTTGTTCCTACTGCCGTGATTTCAGCAGAGCTGTAACCCCCGTTGAAGGTGCATACTCTCACATGTACCCCAGAATCTGCATCCGGCTGCTTTCACGTCCCTAGCGTAGTTGATTTTTTTAATTTTTTTTTTTTTGTTCTTTTTTTTTTCCCGATTTCTGAAGAGAAGCATAAAAGAAAACACAATGGGACCCAGACTGGAAAGTCGAATGGATGCACACAGTCCTCAGGCACAAGGCTCAGGTGAGAGTGCGCTCAGATTGGCAACTGGAATCATCATTCTCATCTGATATTGGAGAGAGATAGAGAAGGAAAGAAGATGGAGAGAGGGGGAGGAGAAAGAAACACCGCCCAACTTGAATAGTGCAATGATAACCTCGCTCAAAATAGTAAAATCATGAAAGTACAAGGAGCGAGGTCGGCGAAAATCCTGACATGTTTCGGCCACCTCGCCGAAATGGCCATCCTCAGGGGCTAATTGCGCTTGTGGGTTGATACTCCGCTGTGTCTTAAATACTACTTCACTGCGAAAAGATACCTCATTCCTCTTTTCCGAGGTCGATCCGCCTTCTCCATCATACCTTCATTCCTCACGGGAGTTCTCATGATGCTGCACATACCAGGGGGAGGTAAGGCGGGAACAGGATAGACAGCACTTCCGTGGTCCAGGCAGTAGAGAGGATATCAGGTCAGGGTCGATTAGCCGAGTACTGGAAAGACGGTCGAGACGCAGATCAGGAACGAAAGGTAAGGAGGAGTTTTTTTGAGAAATGTCGGGGTCGGTAGAAGAGGACAAAGGCGCAGGATAGATCAGCAAGGACGGGGATGGCGAAGCTGACGCGCTGGTCAAAGATTACTGCCGATATTGTCTGCTCCAGGGAGGGATACGTAGTCAGGTGATCATCCTGATCATAGTACAGGACGAAAGTGGAACCGCCAAAACTCGACTGTTCTCGATGGCGCCATTTTCACAGTAAAACGTTAAAACCAGTGGCCTGGCTCTTCCAACCCTTCTCTGAAAAATCTGACCCATCCGTCCCAGCGGTCCCCGTGAAACATGGAAAAATCTGACAAGGCCTTTAAGAACATCCATCCGGGGAAACTCTCGAGTCTCAGTTCGCGCCTCAAAGATAGCAGGCACTGGCCCACTCCTCCGGCTTACTGGCCCACTCCCCTGGAGTCGGAGGAGTGGGCCATAATCCGACTGAGGTGACACTTGATGACTCCAATCTTCTGGGCTTTAGGGCCGTATGACCAGTAGTCCTGGGCGGACTGGAATGTGATCCTGCAGTTGTTCAAGATGTCCTTGTGATTCTTCATCAAGGCTTCACAGTGTATTGCAGGCGGTTGGGCCTGCGTAACTACTTGACAACCCAAGAACTCAAAAACCCCACCCCTCCCGTCAGTTCTGACCAAGGTTCGGTTACTATTATATATTAGACGAAAGCTAGAAAAAACCCTTCTTGCGCGGCTTACTACCCTGAGAAGAGTTAGGAACAATGAGAAACATGGCAACATCGTCAACCAGCGTCAGTCCGGTAATCAGGTGTCTGCCTTTTCCTAGGGAATTGAGAAAGATAAACTCTTGGTGAGCACATAGTAGGCAGGCGAGGGAGGGGCTTGAGCTTTTCCCCATAGGGATACCCACAGTTTGCCGAACGATGAGAGAGGAGACTTTGGAGAAGGAATGTTGTAAGTCAAATTTGACAAAATCGATGAGAAAGGAGAATTTTATTCTAACCCAGCCTCTCTCCCCAAAACCCTTCCCATTCCTTCACCCCACTTGTTGATCTTGGCTGCATTGTGTCCTTTAGACAAAAAGAGGTCACACAACCATTCCACCGCTTTAATAATCTCGTCATGCGGCAGTTTGGTGAACATTTCCTTAATGTCGAAGCTAGACGACAGCAGTATACCGTTCTGCATTTCCCACACTTCTGATTGATAATGTCAATCCTTTTCTTCAGGAGGTTCGTACTCTTCAAGTTGAAGTGGGAGGTGGCGGGAATCCGCCATAGTAAGCCATTGATTGCCTTGGCCACCAACTTGCAGGCTTTGACGCTGGGTTCAGAAAAGGATGGAGCGATTGGTCTCCATCTACAAATGTCCTTATGTTTAGGAATCCCGTAGGCCTTACCCAGACGCCCTTTTCTGTTCCATGGCGCCAGTTTTTGAGCCTCTATATCGAGATAACTAGCCTTGCATGCTTGGAGAATCTGATCCTCCGAACGCTGTTTGACAGTAAAACCAGTATTGCCCCATTACAACCCCTCCAAAGCTTCATAGTAAATAACAGTACAACAGACAAAGGAGTCACCTACATTGCGATCTAGTGGGGCGATCACCAATCCTTTCAACATCCCGTCCCATGTAACCAGATCCTCCAAACTGCCAATTTCGTTTCCAGGTTTGTCGGAAAAACAGGACCGTAATGCATTGTACCCGCCTACATGATCATCGATACATGGGACCCAGGCTCGGCAACTTTCAGTGCGCAGTGAAATTCAGGGTTGGCAAAAACAGGCTGGGAGGTACTAGCGGTTTAAGGTCTGGGAAGCGACAGATGTGGTCACTTCTGAGACCGCTTAATCAGGTTATATATCACGCGATGGGTCTTGGCCTTCTGTTGCTTGAGATCTCTGCCTTTTCCAACCTGCTTCTGAGTTGCGCTTTGCTCTATTCCCCCCCTTCAATCTCCTATCTTGAGCCAATACCAGCTGGTTAAAACCTTAAGGCCTAAAACCTCCCTTATTCTCGTAGCGGAGTACTATCCTTGCCACCGGTACTAAAGGTACGTCCTGTGGTCCATGACCACTCTTGTCTTCACCCTTCCGATTATATAACTGATCAGGTATTCTGTCCATCCATTGATATAAGAGGCCGTCTGCTCCGACCTGAACTTGAGATGAACCGGACCTTCCACTCATATGGTTGACCCATATCCCCACCACCTTGCCCTTTCCGAGCCCACCTTATATCGCCCCTCGCGTTCTCTACATAGAGACGTCCTTGTGCCAGCTGTGATCCATACCCGTTCTTGTGTTCTCCCTTCAGATCACACATCACACAAGGTAGTCTGTCTTCCTGCTGACAGCGAGAGCTGACTTCTCTGGCCTGAGTCCGAGTTGTGCCAGTCCTTCCGACGTATATGATCATCCCGTAACTCAGCCACCTTGCCATTTAAAAGCCATAGTCTGATAAAATTCATTCTGATCTTTTTCTGCTGATCCTCATCCTCAGGCATCAATTGACTCGTTCTCTGCCACTTGCAGCGAATTTCTGCTTGTAGCATAGACCTCGTGTTACATACTCCAATGAGTATGGGCAGAACCAAGGATCAACCAATGTAGGATGAGCATATATGCAACGGAAGTCTGATGAACGGACTGACTCACATAGACTGACTCACATAGCATCACTCCACACACATACAATCGTGAGGTGGTGGGGGTCTGAGCCATACATAGAAGATGCTTAGCCCCGTACACACATACACAGATGAATGGGGGAGGAGAGACGAAGAGGTGGGGGGAGGTAGACAGCACCGAAAGTCACCGAGATAGAATCTGATAGGTCACCGATATGGTAGTCCAAAATGTCATCCAACAAGATCAAAATGTCGAGGACCATAGGTCACCAATGTCGGGGATACAGAGTCCAAATGTAACCGGTGTCTGAACTGTGATGTCGCCAAGTATCAACCCCAACGATCTCCAAGTCTCCAATCCGGTAAGTACCACAGTCTCATACCACCGAAGTCCAACACTGACCTTTGTCCAACTAGTATAGGTCTCCGGTCTGAAGAAGAAGAAGAAGAAGAAGAAGGGGAAGAAGAAGAAGAGAGAGAGAGAGAGAGAGACGAAGGTGAGGAGGAGGGAAAGGAACCGAGGAGGGAGGAAGAGATCCCCGCCTCCTGGTACCTGCAGCTGCTGCTGCTGAGGCGGCGATGGCCGCCGTGCTGCTGCTGCTGTCCTCGCTCGCTGATGCCGCTGCGCTAGGTCGCTCTGCTGCTGCCCTTCGCTCCTGCGCTAGGAATAGCGCTCAAACGGCGCTCTGGCGCCGACCTTACCGCACCGCGTAGAGTACCGGTGGGTCGATGCCTCGAAGTGAGGCCGGACCAGTACTAAGTACTGGTTCGAAGAGGACCGGCCTCACTGCTGCGAGGCCTTGGTTGGGGCTGAACCGTCCAGATCGACGATTCAGGTCTAACCGGAGAGCGGCAGCCTCAAACGGCGCCGTCAGGCCCAAAGACGAAATGTCATTTGGGCCTGGTCCGTAGGCGGGTCCAAGTCGTGGCCTTTCGGCCTGTTATCCCCCAAGGTCGGGCCTTTAGGCCCTGATGTGTCCCTCTAGCCCTAAGTCGGGTCCGGTAGGACCCGTGTGGCATCGAAGATGTAACACACTCCCCCTCTTAAAAGACCGAGCTACTTGCGAGGGCGGAGTTGTCTGTCCGATACCGGGATGGGTCGGGTGGGACGAGCTGCGTCCTTAGCAAGGCGTCGCTTCTCATAGTTGGCGAAGATAAGGGGTGCAGAAGTCTGCAAATCTGTACTGGAGATCCACCGAGTGTCGTCAGGCATACATTGCTTGAATGTGACTTTGTACTGCATTGGCTTGTTGCCATACTTGCGGTGCGTGATGACTCGGTCCACTTCCTGATGTCCGTCCATGGAGGGCGGATCCTGTGATCGACGTCCGGGAAACTTGTCATCTGAAGGTGGCGTGTAGACGGCCAGCTTCGATGCGTGGAAGACCCGATGCACTGTTAGGTGCGGTGGAATGTTGATCACGAAGGAAGGACCTGCGGGATCGTCTCCAACGGCAGAAGTGACTTCCCATGGTCCGAACCATTTCGGAAGGAGTTTGCGCGAAACATCCTGCTCGAGCGCAAATTCCTCGGAGAGGACCCAAACAAGGTCTCCCTCGCGGAAAGGACATGGAAGTCGACGTCGGTTAGCCTGCTGCTGCATGTGGATCTGAGCCTTTTGCATATTTGCGCGGGCTTTGATCAGCAAGTCCCGGTACTTACGGACGGAAGCGGGAGAGCAAGGGACGTCTATGTCGGCAGCCTGTGGCAAAAGGAGATCAGCGAAGATCTGTGCTTTCTCTCCACCATGATGTAACTCGAATGGTGTGACGAAGTGTTATAGGCGAACTCGATGTCGGGAAGCCGGTCAACCCAATCTTTCTGGTCCGGACGGATGAGCGTACGCAACATCATCTGAGCATTATGGTGCACTCGTTCCGTCTGACCATCCGTCTGCAGGTGCCGAGCCGAGCTCGGTTTCATTGTCGTACCGGACTCAGCCATGAGGGAAGTCCAAAAGGCTGACATGAAACGAGTATCTCGGTCGCTCACTATGTCTTCTGGAACACCTTGGTTGGTAATCCAACCGGTGTGCAAGAGTCGTGCGAGCTCAGGCGCTGCAGCATGATACTTGCAAGGAAGGAAGCGAGCATACTCGCTCAAACGATCAACGACCGTGAGAATACCGTCATGGCCGTCGCGATCGCGGGGAAACGGGCCTGTCACGTCCATAGCAATGGAGAGGCGTGGTGCCCGAGGGATCGGCAACGGTTTCAGTTCGCCAAAGGGGATTCGAGATCGACCCTTGTTACGGTGGCAAACTGCACATGACTCAATGTACCTCGTGACGTCATGAAGGACGTCGGGCCAGTGAAAACGCTGGCAGAGGCGTGCTAGTGTGCGGTTCACGCCAAGGTGTGCCGATAGTCGTGCGTCGTGGAATTCGCCGAGAAGACGAGTCCATAAGATGCGATCTTGGGGCACAACTAACAAGTCCTTTCCTCTCGTGTGAAGGAGAAGGAACCCGTCGGAAATCCGATAGTGGGTAGCCGGCGGGTGATCTGATGAAAGCTCTGCGTAAAGCGTAGAGTAAGTCGGATCGGTCTTGTAGCCTTTGACGAATGTGGCTGCAGATCGTCATCGAGGTCGAATCCCGTGGTCACAATGGCACAAAAGTCGGGCCGTCGTGAGAGGGCGTCCGCAGCTCGATTGGCGGGACCGGGAACGTGGCAGGGGTCAAAATCAAACTGGTCGATGTAATACATCCATCGACCGATCGTGCTAGTGACCGTGTCTTGCGTTTTATAAAAGGTCAACGGATTGTTGTCCGTATTCCATTTAAAACGCCGACGGCCGAGAAGGAAGTGGCGCCACCGTTTGAGAACGGTGACGAACGCGAGTAACTCTTTCTTCCTAGCGTCGTCGAGAGTGTTGACGAGAGGCACCTTTTGGGAGAAATACTCAACCGGATGCCAACCGTCCTCGTGACACTGTT